TGGCACCAGCCCCCCGCCAGATCGTGCAGCAGCTGGCTGTGTTTGAGCTCCTTGCAAACCTCCGCCCCCGCGAAGCTATCCAGCACAGCCGGGAGCTGCCTGAAGTCCCCCAAGAGCAGGAACCGAATCTTCTTGTTCATGCTCAAGCAAGCGATGTCAGCCCACAGGGGAGTATCTAACTGAGTCAGTTCTTCGATGACCAGCCAGGTGGCGCTGCAGTGGCCGTTGCGCACATTCCGCCGCACCCAGTGGTCCGCCGTCTGCGCCCCCAGGCCCACGTTTTGCACAGCCGCATGGGTCTTCGTGATGATGTGCACCGTGTCCCCGTGCTCCCGCAGAGCCTCCACGATCTTCTTGGCCAAATGCGTCTTGCCCGTCCCCGGAAACCCCGTCAGCAGCAGGCTCTCGCCGTCCAGGCAGTGGCTCACCGGGTCCTCGATTCGACGCCAGGGCGCCTTCGCTCGGATGGGCTCCGCCTCCATGCTCGGCTCCCGATACTGGCCCTTCAGCCCGGTGACCTCCTCGTAGCGATAGACGGGCGTGCCGTCCCGGTGCGACATCTTCAGCAGCCGCTCCACGGCGGGCCGGTGCTTCTTGGGGACGTCCTGCATGACAAGACAATCGGTCTTGATGCATTTGAGGTACCGCCGGGGCACCTCCGCCAGCGCCTGGCGAATGCGCGCCACCGCGACGTACTCGGCCCCCATGATGTAATCGTGCACCGGGCGGTAGCTGCTGTTCGAGAGCAGCTCCGTCACGAAGACGTGGTCCCAGTGCATCCCCCCGGCCGCATCCGTGAAGGTCTGGCGCCAGCTGCAGCCCTCGCCGTCTACTTGATGATTTGAAGTCTTCATAGAATAGACTAGTTCTAGGTTCCGGGCAAACAGACCCACGAGGCTGTTGACGGCCAGCTTGGCGTAGTGCTCCTCGCCCTCGGGCCAATTGCGCTCCATGCGCTGCAGGACCTGCTCCAGGCACTGCTGGTCCACGTGCGCGGTGGCGTCCAGGCTCCACTTGAAGTGCTGCCACTGGGCCATGCCCGCCTCGAGCATGTAGGCGCACACGGGCTTGGCGTACCAGCCCCGCCCGACGAAGGGCAGCCGGTCCAGCACGCCCTTGCGGTGGTCGCAGGGCAGGTCCACCCACATGAGATCCGCCAGCTGGCCCTCCTCCGTGGGGACGATGCAGTCCAGGGGGCAGAACACCGGCAGGGGGAAGCGGGCGTTGGCCAGGCCGTTCTTGCGGCAGCGGCACACGTCGACGCCCTGGCAGGGTCGGTCGAGATCCCACTTCTGCAGCTGAAAGACCAGCGGCGGCAGCCTGGGACTGGCCGCATAGTTCTGGTACACGTAGCGACAGAACCGGCTCTCGAGGGTGGTGCTGTGGTTGCCCTCCAGGCTCGTCTTGGTGCGGTGACACTCCAGGCACAGGGCCTGCAGTTCCTGCTGCTGTCCGGAGAAGGACTGGGACACGGGGATGACGTGATCGATCTCGAAAGTGCCCGGACCGATCGGTGCGCCGCACAGCTTGCACATCCCCTGCTGGCGGGCGAGCAGCTCCTCCCGGCGGCTTCGGGTGTCCTCGCGCTTGCCCTGCAGCAGGTGCAGGAAGACCTCCAGGCTGGCTCCGGCCAGGCGCTGTCCGCGATAGGGCACCCCCAGGCGCTCCGTCCACTGCTGCAGCACCTGCGCGTCCTCACAGAGCTCCCGGATGACACAGTCGGCTCCGCCCGCAACCCTCAGTCGCAGCGCGGACCACTCGCACAACCCCCGCATGGAAACCTTGGGGTGGTGCCCCTCCGCCAGCCGCCTTCTCCACCGCCGCCGTCAAAGCCGCAATCGCCTTCAGGAGCCTTTCAGTCGGTCGCCAGCCACCCAGGCTGCCAAGCTGTTCCTCAAGGCGCACTGCCTCCTCGGCGGACGGTGGTCCAGACTGCGAGGATGCCATGGATCCGATTGTGCCTTTTCAGCCGCTTTTGCTGCTAAGTGCTGCCATGCTGCTAAATGCTGCCATGTTGCTACATGCCGCCATGCTGCTAAATGTTGCCGCGCTGCTGCATGCTGTGCTGCCAGGTTAAGTCTGCTATCCTACCTCACACGCCTACCTTCGAGGAGCGAGCGCGGCAAAACAAAGCTGAGTGCAGGGACGTGGGCGGGGGAGCCTACGGGTTAGGGACGCAGGGCACTCGCAGGGACGCTGGGTATCAAAGCCTACTTCGGGGGCCGAAAGGGTTCGTGTGCCCTGAACCAAACCCAAGAGAACCAACCCCGGCGAAAGCACTCTAGCAAAATGTTACTGCAAAAGTCGGCGGGCCTAGCTAGAATACCAAAATGGCATCAGTGAGCAAAGGCGAGCGAGCATCAGTGAGCATCCTAAACCCCCACGGATCAGGTCGACGATAGCCACAGGCTCGCCGCCAATCGACACTGAGCGGCCGAGGCCACGAAAACGTGAGCCAAACCAAGGGGACGTGTCCACCGAAATCGCGCTCTCACCACAGTTTGGTGTGAAACGGCCCGGCAAAGCCTTTTGGGCCATGCGCGGGCCTTCTCGGGGCTGGCTGTGTCGATTTTGGCCGGCGGGCCCGGAACAGGTGCTCAACGTAAGCGGGGGTTATATTGAAAATCGGGGCCGCGGCGGTTCCGTGATGCCCGGCGATTTCGTGTGGCTGTGTTCGACCCATCCTAAACCCTCCCGGACCACGTTCCGTGGCTTGCCGGCACCGATCTGACAGGGAAGGGGCGATTCGCCCAGAATCGAGCTTCAACGCAAACGGGGGTTGCATTGAAAATCGGGCTCGCGTCCGTGCGTGGTCGGCGCGCAAAACGGCCGGCGCTCGGGGGCCCTTGGGGCGCACCCTCCCCGAGCGGCTTCAAAATCCTGAAAAATTGGGGTGCGGCATGGTGTTTTAGGGGCATGCGTTTTTTTGGTGATGAATGCCGGCAATGTCGAAATCGCTGCGTTCGAACATCAAAACCTTGAACTCAGGGTGGGACTTGCGTTGAACAAGGCGCCAGCCGGGCGCCAGCCGGGGGGCTTGTCATCCTGTCATCCTGTCATCCTGTCATCGGCCGCCGGGGGGCTAATTTGGGCGCCATTTCCACGATTTTGTCGGGACACCGGGCGCCGTGACAGAGCAACGCTGTCTGTCATCGACACCTTTGGCGTGAAACCCGCCACAATTTGCTCGATTTTTGGGAGCACCAGCAGCATGACCGGGCGAGGTCCGTCTGTCATCGCCTGTCATCGGCCGCTTCGGGGCGACTTTCGGCTTGTTTTTTGGAACGCCGAGCGCAATGACAGGATGACAGAATGACAGGATGACAAGGGTCCCGGCCGGGTCAAGATAAAGCATGGAGCTGGCGTGCCGGAACGCCACGGAAGAGCCCTCCGAAGCCAATATCGTGCGACTGCTGGACCTGTGGTCGGCGGACTGGAAGCGCCGGGGCCGCACGCGGGCCGTGGGGCCGGGGGCCTATGAGCGGTACGCCACGCTGGGGCTCTTCGGGCACGGCGGCGTGGTCGGGGTCTCGAATGCCACCGGCCTGCGGGAGGCCTGCGCCGCTGTGAATTGCTTTCTCCGCAGCCGCTTTCCGAGTGGCACCTGGACCTCCATCGCCGTGCTCTTCAACCCGCGCATGGGGCTGCACCGCGACATTCAGAACATGGCCGGGCACCCGAATCACGCGCTTGCTCTGGGCAAGTACACAGGAGGGCGGGTGTGGATCGAAGATGACGAGGGGGACTCTGCGGCGTGGCTGGCCGACAAGAAAGGGGGACGAGAGCTGCGCGGGCGGTGGCTGGACATGCACGACAACCCCGTCAGCTTTGATGCTCGCCGCTATCACATGGTGGAGCCACACGAGGGCAGCATGTGGGCTCTGGCTGCTTATGTTCCGCAAGCCTATGCTCGGGCGACGGAGCAGCACCGAGAGACGTTGAGAGAGGCCGGCTTCCCGCTGCCTGCGTGATGTTCTGAACTCAGTGAAGGCATGTCGGAAAAACTCCGACGTGGGTGTTGTGGAATTAGAACTGAGCACTTGTCGTTTTTTAACAGATGCCGTGTCTCCGTTCCGAATGCAGCAGGGGCACGAGCGAGAAACTCGTTGATGCCCTGTCTCAAATTCGCCGAAGTTCTCGCCGAAGTAAATGTCTCGCCGAAGTTCTCCGAAGTAAGATCTTCTCCCACTTCGAGGTAGTTCAGCCAGAATTTTTTCTGGCCCCCGGCGGGGCTTGTCATCCTGTCATTCTGTCATTCTGTCATCGCTGGCCTCCGTGTCAATATCGGCATCATATGCATGGGTTTTTGAGATAGAAGGCAGCACAGTAAAGAGACTGTGTTCAGCCGCAGACTCAATCGCTGTGAAAGCGCGACAATTAACTCGGTTTTCGGAGCACTGGGCTCCGATGACAGAGCGAACTCCGTCTGTCATCGCCTTGTCATCGGCATTTTCGCTCTCTCTGGGGAGGGTGTTCCAGGACTCCACTCTGTGATAGCTACAGGCCTCAGTTCAAGACATAGGTCAGAATTCGGTACTTTGGAGCAGTGTCGATTCGCGGGCCTACGGCCCGCAGCTCTGACGATCTTAGGGGCTCTGAAGTCTTTGCAAAACGGGCTTTAGAGGAACTTTAAGTGCGCGCCTCTGGCCAGCAGCCGACGAGTGCTCGCCGGCAGCTTACGAGCTGCTTACTGGCAACTCACGAGCACTCGCCAGCAGCTCTGCCGGCAACTCACGAGCTGCTTGCTTGCAACTCACGAGCTGCTTGCTCGCAACTCACAAGCTGCTTGCTCGCAACTCACGAGCTGCTTGCTCGCAACTCACAAGCTGCTTGCTCGCAACTCACGAGCTGCTTGCTCGCAACTCACGAGCTCCTGGCTCGCAACTCACAAGCTGCTTGCTCGCAACTCACAAGCTCCTTGCTTGCAACTCACAAGCTCCTTGCAAGCTGCTTGCTCGCAACTCACAAGCACTCGGCAACCGCCTACGAGCAACTCACGAGCTACTTATTCGCAACTCACGAGCTGCCTGCTCGCAACTCACGAGCACTCGCCGGCCGCCTACGAGCAACTTAGGAGCTGCTTGCTTGCAACTCACGAGCACTCGCCGGCCGCCTACGAGCAACGCACGAGCTGCTCGCACGCCCTCCGCGCCGAACAAGCGCGCGTAAGCGCGCGTCGCTCCCCAAACAGCTCCGGAGCACGACGGCGCGCCTCCAAACAGCTCGCGAGCGCCCTTCGCGCCCTCAAAGCGCCTCCGATGCCGCGCACGCGCGTTTTGCAAGCACTTTAGAGCCCCTAAGATTGCGAGCCCTACGGGCTCCAGCCCTTAAAATCGACAGGCCCTCGAAGTACCGAATTCTAGCCTATGTCTCGAAACTAGCCTCGTAGCTACTACAGAGTGGAGTACCGGAACACCCTCCCCAGAGAGAGATTCCATACTTCGAATGCCTGTCGATTTTGCGGGCTGGAGGCTCTAGGGCTCGATCTGAGGGGCTCTAAAGTGCTTGCAAAACGGGCGCGCGCGGCATCGGAGGCGCTTTGGAGGCGCGCCGTCGTGCTCCGGAGCTGTTTGGGAGCGACGCGCGCTTACGCGCGCTCGTTCGGCCGGAGGGCGTGGGAGCAGCTCGTGCGTTGCTCGTAGGCGGCCGGCGAGTGCTCGTGAGTTGCAAGCAAGCAGCTCGTGAGTTGTGAGCAGCTCGTGAGCAGGGCTCGAAGAATTTTCAGGGCTGTCAGTCAATTTGACTGACAGGTTGTTGCGAAATTTCCCGAGCGAGTGCTCTTAAGTTGCCAGCAAGTAGCTCGTGAGCTTTTGCGCAGGGCGCTCGAAGAATTTTCAGGGCTGTCAAGCAATTTGACTGGTCCTGCCGTCGGGTAGCTTGTGAGTTGCCAGCAAGTAGCTCGTAAGCTGGCGAGTGCTCGTAAGTTGCCAGCAAGTAGCTCGTGAGCTGCTGGCGAGCACTCGTCGCTGCTGGCAAGTGGCGCGCCCTTAAAGTTCCTCTAAAGCCCGTTTTGCAAAGACTTCAGAGCCCCTAAGATCGTCGGAGCTGCGGGCCGTAGGCCCGCGAATCGATAGTGCTCGAAAGTACCGAATTCTGACCTATGTCTCGAACTGAGGCCTGTAGCTATCACAGAGTGGAGAGCTGGAACACCCTCCCCAGAGAGAGAAAAAAATCCTCCGGGCCGGCCCCGTACTGGTTAGCTCGGCAGCGGAAACCGCTTCTCTCAGTGCCTCTCGGTGCTGCTCGGTTGCCCGAGCATAGGCTTGCGGAACGTAAGCAGCGAGAGCTCACATGCTGCCCTTGTGCGGCTCCACCATGTGATACCGGCGAGCGTCGAAGCTCACCGGCTTGTCGTGCATGTCGAGCCATCTACCCGGCAGCTCTCGCCTCCTTTTCTTGTCGGCCAGCCAGGCCGTGGAGTCCCCTCGTCATCTTGGTGCAGCCCCATGCGCGGGTTGAAGAGCACAGCTATGGACGTCCAGGTGCCGTTCGGAAAGCGGCTCTTGAGAAAGCTGTTCACGCTGCACAGGCTGCCCGCAGGCCCGTGGCATTGGAGACCCCGACCACGCCGCCGTGCCCGAAAAGCCCCAGCGTGGCATATCGCTCATAGGCCCCCGGCCCCACCGAGGCCACGAAAACTTGAGCCAAACCTAGGGGACGTACCCACCGAAATCGTGCTCTCGCCACAGTTTGGTGCGAAACGGCCCGGCAAAGCCTTTTGGGCCATGCGCGGGCCTTCCCGAGGCTGGCTGTGTCGCTTTTGGCCGGCGGGCCCGGCAGGGTGTGTGAAACATAGGCAGGGCGCACCCCGAGAATCGGAGGCGCGGCGGTTCCGTGATGCTCGGCGATTCCGTATGGCTGTGTTCGACCCATCCTAAACCCTCCCCGAGCACGTTCCGGGGCTTGCCGGCACCGATTTGACAGGAAAGGGACGATCCGGCCGAAGACGTGCTCAAACCCACCGAAATCGGGCTCTCGCCGGTGCGTGGTCGGCTCGCAAAACGGCCGGCTGCCGAGGGCCGTCGGGGCGCACCCTTCCGGGGCGGCTTCAAAATCCAAAAAAATTGGGGTGCGGCATGGTGTTTTAGGGGCATGCGCGTTTTTGGTGCGAAATGCTGTCAATGTAAAAAATGGATTTGGCGTGCCGGAACGCCACGGAGGAGCCGACCGAAGCCAATCTTGTGCGGCTGCTGGATCTGTGGTCGGCCGACTGGAAGCACCGGGGCCGCACTCGGGCGGCCGCTCAGTGTCGATTCGCGGCGAGCCTGTGGCTATCGCCGACCTGATCCGTGGGGGTTTAGGATGCTCACTGATGCTCGCCTTTGCTCACTGATGCCTTTTCTTTTTGATTTGTAGTGTAGCTAGGCCTGCCGACTTTTGCAGTAACGTTTTGCTAGAGTGCTTTTTGCCGGGGTTGCTTTTGGTTTGGTTCAGGGCACCCGAACCCCTTCGGCCCTGTGGTAGGCTTTTGATCCCCGTCTGCCATGCGAGTGCCCTGCATCCCTAACCCGTAGGTTCCCCCGCCCGCGTCTGCACTGCATTCAGGTTTTGTTTTCCGCGCCGCGGTCCACCAGGTAGGGTGATCAGGGTAGCGCAGCAGCACAGCAGCGTAGGAGGCGGCACACACGCACAGCAGCACAGCAGCGCAGCAACGACCCGGAGGCGGCGCGCATCAACAGTAGGCGGTACATTGACCTATAGCAGCAGCATGTCTTCGGAAGAGTCACCCGGTGAGATGGAAAGCGTCTGCGTGGAGGAGTCGGCTGCAGTTGCATTCGCCGAAGTTGGCGGTCTTCTGATCCGAGATGAGGTGCTCGAGGGCGACGTCGGATGGACTGCCAGCAGCACAGTCGGAGAGGTGATTGAGTCGGCCGGGGCCACTTGCAGCTCCGGTGGCGCCGACAGGTTCGAGGGCTGGGTCGTGGGGCGAATGGAGCTCCATCTGTCAAGTTGCGGAGTTCGTCGCTCGTTTGAGGCGACTCTGGAGGACACTGCTCGCGATCACATGGATGTGGCATTTCGGCTTGTTCTCAGAGGGCGCTTTGCTCGTGGAGTAGCTCGTCAGCTCGCCCGCCAGCGACGATGATCGAAGTGCAGCATCGAGGGTTTTTAAAAGTGTGCCGCGTGGGTTTGTCCCTCCGAAACCCTTTCGGCCCTGCTGTAGGTTGCTCACCATCTGCCCTGCAAGTGTTTTGCAAGTGAGTGCGCATCGGAGTGAGTCCCGAACCCGCTAGGCCCTCCCTTCGGCCCTGCATTGAACTTGTTGGTTTCCGCGCTCGCTTTCTCAAGGAGTGTAGGGTAGGGGCGGGGGGGTTGCCGGGCGGTCGGGCGGGCAGGTGGGCTTGCGTCGGGACCTCAGTTTGCTTGGGTTGCTTCGGTGTTCCCCTTCCCCAACCCTTTTGGTTACCCTAGGCCGCCTCTCACTGCCCTGTCCCGTTGCCCTGTCCCCGTAGGCTGCCCCTTGCCCGCGCCTTTCCGCCCAGGTCTGGACCTTCTCCGCCGGCGTGGTGCTCGCAGGGGTTCTTCAGGGGTTGTTCGGATGTTGTGCGGGCTTGGTGTCGTGCGAGTGCAAGTGCACAGGAGGGACCTGCGCTGCTTCCCGTAAACCTAGAGTGCCCTGCATTCCCCCTTCCCGGGAGCCCCGGCCCCTCCTTCGCTTCGCCCAGGTTTTCCTGCGAGCGTCTTCGCCGACTTCGAAACGTCTGGAGCCCTGTGCCTCTGCAAGAGTTGCCTCTTTGAAGCCGGCTGGTTGGCATGTTTCGATGCTTTGGAGTGCTCTTGCTCGACAGCATCGGGGCCCCACTGACAGGGGTGAGCATGCTTAGCGCCGACGCATGCCTGGAGAATCGAAGTCAGTGCGAGAACTTCATTCACATACTTGGTTAATGTGGCTAGCTGGTAATACCACGAAGCTATCATCTGTTGCCATGGTTCGCGTCGTATCACTGAGCGGGCGAGAGGTCGACGTCCGCTGGGGTCCCGAGGACACCTTGGGCGATATCGCCGAGAAAGCCAGAGTGGCACTCGGCACCTGCCGCGGACGGCTTCTCCTCGGCACCGACGTCCTCGACTTCGACAGCAAGATGAAGGATGTGGGGGATGGAGTCCTGACGTTCCAGTCAATTTTGCCCCGCACGCTGGCGAGTTTGAGGGCATACACGATCCTGTACGGCGACGGCACCGCGGAGGCGGTGGGGGACCCTGATCTCGGTGGCCGAGGTGGCGCGCAGGGGGTGAAGGCGGTGCAGTGCACCTGCCAGGCCTTTGCAGCCCTCTTGGATAATGGATCGGTCGTGGCTTGGGGACAGGAACTTGGCGGCGGCGATGCGAGTGCAGATTTTTACGAGGAAGACATCGTGCAGATCCAATCCACCGACACCGCCTTCGCGGCCATAACGATCGACGGCGCGATCGATTGCTGGGGTAACCCGTGCACAGGCGGGTTGGGGCCCCTTCAGCCTGGCGATGATGGTGAACCTGTACGGCTTGACGTGGAGGGAGTGATCGCCATCCAGTCCACTGAGCGCGCCTTCGCCGCGATTCTCAATGATGGCAGCGTCGTGGCCTGGGGTGATGAAAATGCGGGCGGCGACAACCGCCTGGTCCTACCGGCGCTGAAGAATGTCGTGAAGATCCAGGCGACGGAATCGGCCTTCGCGGCCAGTATGGCCGACGGTAAGGTGTCTTGCTGGGGTGACCCGGAAGCAGGTGGCGACGGCTTCTGGTCCGAGGATGGGGAGGACCTGTGCGGGGTCGTCGACGTACAGGCCACCAGGTTTGCCTTCGCCGCAATCACGTCCAGCGGCTCCGTGTGCGCCTGGGGTCACGAGGCGGCTGGAGGCGACCTGGGTGGCCGCGTCATCACGGACGCCGTGGCCATCCAGGCAACAGACCTAGGCCTTTGCCGCGATCCTGAAGGACGGCTCCGTGCGGGCCTGGGGCCATGAGACCGGCGGTGGAGACTGCGAGGCCGTGCGGGACCGCTTGGTGAAGGTCCGAGAGATCCAGGCCAACGCCCAAGCCTTCGCGGCCATCTTGGAAGACGGCTCCGTGGTGACCTGGGGCGATGCCGACTTTGGTGGCGATGGGCCGTCATTGCAGAACGTGAGGTGCATCCAGGCCTCGGCAGACGCCTTTGCAGCAATCCTGTATGATGGCTCCGTGGTCACCTGGGGGGATGCCGCGGCGGGAGGAGATAGCAGTGCAGTACAGCATCAGCTGCGGGATGTCGTCCATGTGAGTGCGGGTCTGGGCTTCTTTGTAGCAACTTTGGGCGATGGCACCACCGTACATTGGGGTGCGATCTGAATCCCCTGGCATGGCAACGGCGCCACGGTACAGAGGCGGCGCCTGCCGGTCGAGTTAAAAAGGCGCCCTGTGCTGCAAGTTCGTGAGCCTGCAGTTTGGAGGGCCCTGCCCTCTTGCTCTGCCCAGGTCTCTTCGGCGCGGCGCCTGGACCTTGTCTGTGTCGCCTCTTGAAGTTCGGTATGCTTGTGAAGGGCTGATCTAAATGAATTACTCCCCCTCGCTCCCAGGCCTGGAGTCTTCGGCACGGCTCGCGACGGCTTCGCGCATCGCCTGGGCCCTGGTGCTCTCTTTGCTGCCTCTTCGAAGCCGGCTGGTTGGCATGTTTTGTGCATTCGTCGCAGCTTTGTTGATTTCCCGAGCCCCCCAGCTTCAGGGGTAGGTGCGATGGCGCACTTTCGCCGCTCGCAGGCCGTGAACTTGGTCCTCAGCCCCGCGCTGCCAGACCTGGCTCGGGTCGGCGTTCGCCTCGGCTTGGGCGACTATCCGGCCTGCTGCGACCGCCTGCTGGAGCTCCTGGATCCGAAGCTGTGCTCAGAAACTGACCGGATCGGTGTCCAGCAAGCCAACGCTGAGTTGCAGAGGCTCCGGAACAAGCTGGACCTCCTTCCCGAGTCGGAGCTGTCCAAGGCTCTCCAAGAGGCGCAAGGGGCGCCATCTAACGCGGAGCGGCTGTTTGTGACGCTGCCTTCGCAGTCGGCATCTGCCAAGAGCCGCTCCGTTCTTCAAGGGCGAGGTTTGGGAAGGGGCTCCTCTGCTCCCAAGGCCAGTTTGGACAAGTTCATGAAGCAGATGAGGAATACGACCGAGGTTGCAGAGCCCAGCGAGCCGGTGGTTGCGCAGCCCAGCGAGTCGGTTGCAGAGCCCAGCGAGCCAGCGGTTGCAGAGCCCAGCGAGCCGGTGGTTGCGCAGCCCAGCGAGCCGGTGGTTGCGCAGCCCAGCGAGCCCGCGGTTGCAGAGCCCAGCGAGCCGGTTGCAGAGCCCAGCGAGCCGAAGGTTGCAGAGCCCAGCGAGCCGGTTGCAGAGCCCAGCGAGCCGGTTGCAGAGTCCAGCGAGCCGGAGGTTGCACAGCCCAGCGAGCCCGCGGTTGCAGAGTCCAGCGAGCCGGAGGTTGCACAGCCCAGCGAGCCGGTTGCACAGCCCAGCGAGCCGAAGGTTGCAGAGCCCAGCGAGGCAGTGGTTGCACAGTGCAGCGAGTCGGCGGAGCAGGAATCAGCCGAGGAGCCATCCATTCCGGCCTTTGAGAACGGGAAGCTGGGTGAGCCGCTCAAGGAGTACAGGGACCACGTGGTGGCGAGGCAGGAGTTTGAGCACTACGGCCCGGACTGCCCGCTGGAGGTAGTCCGACGCTTCCGGGAGTGCCTCTATCGCGACGAGAAGGACACGGCGAACTTCAATCCCTACTGGGTCGTGCTGGAGTTCCCCACTCGCACTGGTGTGGGGCCGCTGCCAGAGTGGAACGGCGCGATGGCCTTCTGTCTTCGCGAAGGCGATCCCACGAACTTCCTGCTCGTGAGCAAGAACAAGGGCGTCGCGGTGCGGGCCGAGAACGTCTTCAAGGTGAATGGTGAAGAAGGACTGCCTGCCCCCGCTGTTCTCCGCGATCCTCCAGGCCGGCTGGCAGCGGGGCAACATCCGCATCTTCGACAAGGGGGCCTACTACCAAGCCAAGGACCAGGACGCGGCGGAGTTTTCCCCACGGGCGGCGCTCCGAAGCCTGGAGCACCTCGACCCCGTCGGCTACATGTCCCACATGGCCAAGCTGGAGGACCGCTTCGGAGGCGACACGGCCCTGCGGACTCGCAAGCGCAAGGCCACGACCGAGGATGAGTACATCTACGTGCAGCGGGAGGCCCTCAACAAGCTCCGCAAGGCCGTTGATGAGGAAAGGGAGGCCAAGGCGATGCTTGCGAAGTCCACGCTTTCCATCGCAGACTTCAACTACGAGACCTGCCAGTGCTGGTATTGGGACGAGCCGAGTGGCTGCAAGAAGTCCGTGCCCTTGGACGAGGCCGTCGCCATCGCCATCCAGACGAGGAGAACCATAGTGCTTTACGGGCCTCCAGGTCGAGGCAAATCGCCCTTCGCCAAAGCACTGGCCGGCTGGTACATGCAGCACGTCCTGAAAGGCAAGATCGACGAGATGATCTTCACCGGCACCGTGGACAGCCTCCGCAAGGCGTACCAGTTCAACCTGCTTCAGGGCGGGCGGCCCCTGGTTTTCGATGATCTCCTTGCCAACCGGCAAAACGTGGGGAGCCAAGGCGGAGGACCGGACTTTGTCAAGCAGCTCTTGGGCATCTCCCGGGATGATCGAGCGACTCTCCAGAGTCGCTACGCAGACATGCAGATCCCGCAGGATTGCCTGAGAATCATGACAGTTCAAGATGTCGACAAGGTGCACCCGGGGCTCCAGGTCATGCACAGCGCCACGGAAACCCACATCCCCAAGGAGTTCTGCGGGGACTTGCATGACATGCCCATCAAGGAGCATTTCGACGTGGACCGCCGGGCAATCCTCAAGAGGATGGTCGCGATCTTCGTCCCCGATGGCATCCTGAAAGGCGAGGTGCTGGGTGGCCGCGTCGAGTCTGATCAGGAGAACATCGCCAGGCTGCGGGAGCTCTGGAGTAAGACCGTCGGCTGAAGCCGCGGCTGGCACAGCGGTCAGTACAGGACCCCAGCTGTGCCCTTAGGGCCTCAGGGCCTGCGCGTTCGGCGCAGCTCCGTACAGGATCCGCTGCCGCGCCCGTGCAAACAGTTTCGCAGCTTCAAGCCTTGTGTGCCGTGTTGTAGGATGCTGCAGGTCGCTTCTGTGCTTTTTTAGCTCCGTCACTCTGAACCCCTTCGCCTCGCTCAGGTTCGAACCTGCGTCACTGTGCTGGTGCCTCTGTTCAGGGTTTTTTCGGACTTTGCGATTGTGGGGGTTGTTGTTCCGTGCGCGCACAGGAGGGCCCTGCACTGCTTCCCCCATCCCGTAAAGCTAGAGTGCCCTGCGACCCCGGCCCTGTTCCCGGGAACCCCGGGCCCCTGGCCCCTCCACAGGTTCGCGGATGGTTGCGCTTCCAGCCCGCTTCTATCTCAGGCAGGTCGCTTTCCACGCTTTCCAGGTTTTCCAGGGTTTCCAGGGGGGTCTTGGGAGGGACCACAGGCCACCCTGGAAAGCATGGAAAATTGAGTCTAGGAGCTTCATTTTTCCACGCTTTCCACGTTTTCCAGGGTGGCCTGTGGTCCCTCCCAAGACCCCCCTGGAAAGCGTGGAAAAATGAGTCTAGGAGCTTCATTTTTCCACGCTTTCCACGTTTTCCAGGGTGTTCGGAGTTCGCTTTTGAACCCTATCCTTCCAGCCCGATTCTGGTGTCTAGGAGCTTCATTTTTCCACGCTTTCCACGTTTTCCAGGGTGTTCGGAGTTCGCTTTTGAACCCTATCCTTCCAGCCCGATTCTGGTGTCTAGGAGCTTCATTTTTCTACGCTTTCCACGTTTTCCAGGGTGTTCGGAGTTCGCTTTTGAACCCTATCCTTCCAGCCCGATTCTGGTGTCTAGGAGCTTCATTTTTCCACGCTTTCCATGTTGGCTTTTTGGGCCCTCCCAACACCTCCCTGGAAACCCTGGAAAACCTGGAAATGGTGGAAGTGACCTGCCCGGCATTGAGGCCTGGGCTTGTTCAACTCGGCGAGCCTTCAGCGGTGATCGTCCGGAGCCCAGGTCCCGTCGTGCTTAGCAGCCTTGTGCAGCCTTGTGCAGCCTCACACGTACCTTGCGCGAGTTTTGTGCCCTCTCGAGCTTTAGCCCCGACTCGTAGCTGCGTCATGGCCTGGAACCTCGTCCTGAAGTTCCTGACGGAGACGGCCGTGGAGCCTGTCGAGCACCCGTTTCTCAACAATGGCGTGATCGGAGAGCCGGATATCGACCTTGCCCTCGACCACGTCGACGTCTTGTCTCAAGTGGCTGCCTGCGATGCTGACTCCCGTCGCGAGCTGCAATCCCCTCTTGCGGATTGGCGTGCGGCGCTGGGGCGCATGACTTCGACCGAGATCGGCCAACGTTTGTCCTTCCTCGGCGAGCACCCACTGCGGGGACGGCTGTTGGCAGCAGCGGAGCGGGTTCGAGGGCTGCGTGGGGACGCTGCAGCCCGACAGTTCGCTTGGAATGTTGCCGATGCCACGTGGCGCGATCCTTCAATTCTCTTGAGGTACGAGGCGGAGTTAGGGCTGGTGGAGACCGAGCTGGATGTGATGGAGTCTGAGCCGTCGGGACCGCCGTAGGGGTGCTGTGCAGTTGCTGTCCCTAGCAGGTCTAGCGTGTTCGACGTACAGGAACCGAGCACCCAGCGTACAGGCTGTGCACAAAGTCCTGCCGCTTTGCCTGCTGTGTGCGCGCATCGGCATGTTCTGCAAGCTGGCCCTGCGCCCAGGTCGGTTCGACGTCTTCCAGGTTCGTGTGGTCTGCAGCCCCTGGTTACCTTAAGTCCCGAACCCCCAGGCCCGAACCCTCTAGAACCCTTCATCCCTACTAGGCTGCCCTGCTCGGGCGGCAAGTCTACGGCGGCGCCGTGGGCCCGGGGTTGAAATCTCTAAGCTGCCGCACCGCTAACGGCACCGGCCGCCGAGTCAGCCGTGCTTTAGGCTCCGCGGAGCCGCGGGGCACCGGAAGCGCATGCTTCAGCAGGGTCTCCGAGCCGTCCGTGGCTCGCACCGTCATCGAGTCGTAACTCGAAACCTCCCGCACCGCCCCGTACTGGGGCTGGAAGCTCCTCGCTGCATTGGTGGGGGCCCGGAACGCCCCCGCCTCCTCGAGCCGCCGCTGACGGCTCCTCGTCAACTCATCGTTATGTTTGAACTTGGCCGCGTTATCCTGGTAGGCCCTGAACCCTGCGGCCGGCATCGTCTCCACATCCTCGGGCGCCACGGTCACCGCCGCGTGCGGCCGGGCGTTGTAGGCCTCCGTAGCTTCGTCCACGTGGTCGCCCCACCCACCGCCGTGTCGTGCCGCCTCGCCCGCCAAATCCTTCTTCAAAGTCTGAATCGCGCGGTCCACCACCGCGGTCGCATTGCGATCCGTCGGGTCCTTCTGCCGGTGCACCACGCCCCCCGGCAATGCCGCCTCAAGCCCCCGGAACTCGTTGCCCAGATCCGTGGTGACGACGTAATTCGACTCGTCCTGCACCAGCCGGGGGATGATCTCCGCCGCCGCCCGCGTCACCGTCGCGGCCGACTTGTCGGGCAGGGCCTTCGTGGCCATCTCGCGCGTGAACACATCAGTCACCACCAAGCCAAATTTGTTGGCTCCCCGAGTGTTCTGGCTGAAATCGATGAGGTCCGCTTGCAGGCGGTCGTTCGGCCCCTCCGCCGCACTCTTCCCCAGACTCCGCGGCTTCGGTGCGAGCACCTGCCGCGCCACGTCGCTGCGCAGGGCCGCCTGGGCCCGCGCACTCGTGAGGTCCCGCCGCTCCGGAAACTCCCGGCGGGCTATCTGGTAGAGCTTGCGGGGATCCCGCACGTTGAAGTCCCGGGCCAGCCGCCCGAGCAGCTCCATCGCGCCGTCCTCTGCCATTTCTAATCCGAGTCGCCCTCGCTCCCCTTCTTCTTTTCAAGTTTCTCCACGCGCTTCTGCAGCTTCTTGACCACGCCCCACAGCACCACGCTGAGCTTCTGATAGTCCAAAGCCATCAGCTCCCGGCCGTCCAGGTTCTTGGTCTTGCACATCGTGGCGCCCAGCTTCCCGCTGGCCTGCACGTCCTGGGCCACGAAGCCGATCTGTTCCTTACCGCCGTCGATGCGGTCGAAGAGCTGCGGCTCCACCGCATCGAAGGTCTCTTGCAGCTCCTTCTCCGGGATGGCCCGGACGTTCTCCTTCAGGGCCCGGTCGCTCAGGTTGACGAAGCCGTAGCCGAAGATGACCTCTCCATCATTCGATCCCCCGATGTTGGGTTCGATGGCCAAATTCGCCAGGCCGTTGGTGGTGTTGAAACTCATGAACTGAAACAAGGTGTTGAGCTGCACGCCACCCCCGGCCAGGGCCTTGAGCTCCGCCAAGCCGGTCTGATTGTTCGCGTCGAGGAGCAGCTGGGCATCGCCCGTCGGCGCTGCGTTCCGGATCACCGTGCCCACGGTGCCGTCCGGCGGCCCCACGGCGATTTGCTCCAGCAAGGGGGCGAGGACCTGCACGCCGCTGGTGCCCCCCGACAAGGACAGAAAGGGTAGCGACGCCTCGGGGGCCACGGCCCCGTTGACCCGCAGGGTGGCGTTCACCAGCACGCCCTGCGTTCCCCCTTCGATGCTGAGCCAGGGGTCCGCCGGGTCGCAGCGCACCAGGGGCGCTTCCAGGCGCAGGTTGCTCGCCACCTGCAGGTTCGCGGTGACGCTGCTGCTGGAGTTGAAAGTCCCCGTGGCCGCCGTGGAGCCCACGAAGAACTGCGCGAAATCCGCGGTGGTCGCGTTCAGCGTCTTCGCCGCGTTGACGGTGATGTCCTGGTCCAGCGTGATCCCGGCGGCGGCGAAGGAGGCCAGGGGCGTGTTGTCGATGGCCCTCAGCACGATCGGCGTGCCCCGGAGCTCGGGGGTCTCCACGAAGCTTGCTGGTGCTCAGCAAAGAGCCAAAGAGCCAACAGCAGTCAACAGGGTTCGTGCGCGCAGGTGCTTACGATGGCTTTTCTTGAATGAAAAATCGCAGTGCTGCGACAAACAGGAAAACCGTACACAGCTCGCTCTGCGTTCCCAAACCACTGTCCGAAATAGACAACAATTACTAATTACTAATTACCCGTCTGGACAATGCCCGGACGTTTGATCCAGAAACGACACACTCGCAGGGTAATTACTGCACGGGGAAACATTTCTAAGCACACCGCTCGTGCCCTAAACCTGTAGAAGCCATACCGCAACACTTACACACTCACAACTTATTCTTTGGACAAACCATGGTCGTGAAACATGTCCAACATCTTGAAAGAGACGTGCTCGCGGTGCACCGTACGCCGTACACAGTAACTGTTGTCTTGGAGCCCTGCGAAACGAGATCAGGGGAAGCATGGGGGAGGACTTATAGCTTGACTAATTAAGCTCGTCTACACGTCAATATGCTGCGAAGCTTCCATAGAGCCGCAAGATATTCCTGCGCGTGAACGTACAATATGTGTGTTTGAACCCCTGCGTCAGGAGTGAAGCGACGCACGTCTCTTCGTGCGCCAAGTGGGTTCGAGCAGGTCGTAGATCTGACATGTCGGGATCCCGCCAGCAAGCTCAGGACAAGAGTGCGGTGCATAATTTCAGCGGTTTTCCGTGCTGCACTGGTGCAGGGGAAGTGCCACGACGCCGCAAAAACCAGAGAGAAACGAGGTCTGCGACAGAGCATGAGAAGACAGTGCAAGAGGCAAGAGAAACAAGAGAGAGAGAGAGAGAGAGAGAGAGAGAGACAAACTCTTCGACGGAGTTACTACTGCACCGGTACAAGAAAAGCGACAAGAAAGCGCCAAGTAAGCAATGAAAGCTTGGCGACGGAACACCGCTGGCTTACCACTTTGCTACTGCTGCAACAGATTGTCAGCTCGGGTCAAGACAACATGCCATCAGAGGGTATCAGCGGCAGCCTTCATTGGGAAAGAAATACTTTGCACTTCGAATGTTGTTAACATCTGGGAAATGTG